ATATAGGTTTATTGTAATAAAGTTTCTACTATGACATTATATTAATAAAAAAAAAAAAAAAAAAAAAAAAAAAAAAAGTATATTAACAACATGTGTCAGTTGTTTTATTAATGATACTGCTAACTTTTTTGTCTTGAATAAAGATATGCAATTTTTCTAATTCAATATCATAAACAAGAGGCAAATATCATTGTTGAAGCTAACAGGCACTTACAATTGAATTGCTTAATAAATTAAAATTTATTAATATATTATATATTTTATAATTTTTTTTTTAAAAAATATAAATACTATTTGTGCAATATTTTTGTAAGAATGGTTTTAATTTTTCAACTTTTTTTAAAAGAACATTCGCCTTTGTAAAAGCCTTAATTAAATCAACATTAATTGTAGCAGATTAAAATGAAATTAGATTAAAATGAAACAAAAACCTCTCTTGCTTCTCTTTAAAGCTTATAAAACCCACTTATACTCTTTTTTTAATAAACCTAACACTAAACTCTAACCCTAACCCTAAAAAATGTTACCCAAAATTTTTTAAATCATCCCTAAAAAATATTAAAATTTCATTTTAATCTGATTTCATTTTAATCTGTTATATTAATTTCTTGTTTATCAGTTACTTGGGTTTGAAGTATAATTAAATTTTGCTAATCTAAAGTTTCACTAGATTCAGCAATTTTTTTTTGTCTTTTGTGTTTATTAGTTTTTAGATATGAATCTAAATTATGTTTTTTATGATAATTGATGAGGCATTTACAAAAAGTACAATAAATTTTTTCTTCACTTTTATAAAAATCGGTTTTGTATTGAGAATATTAATCTAAAAGTAAAATAACTAGCAATATTTTTTTTTTCAAAAAAAAAATATATATTTAACTAATTTATATTTTATAAATTTATCTTCACTATGTATGGTAATTGTTTAACAAATCAGTCAAAAGAACTAATGCACTAATCACATGTTTAGTGCGATAATAGCAAAAATTGCATCTTAGCACAAAACAATGGTCACTAGCTATTTTGCTAAAAATAGTGCTATTTTAGATGCTACAAAAATCCACTGGCTCTAATAGTTGTTAAGATATTTTAATTTAAATTTTTAAAAAAACTTCTAAAAACAATTTGGGTGGTTTCTACTTTTGACCTCCCATATATCCAAAAACAATTGAACATAATAGCCTGTCCAACACTGTAACTTACAAAATTACATTTGATAATGGATTGGCACATGATTATTGTACTATTATGAAAGTTTTGCCAGTATTATTAGAGATTTATCACTACGTTCAGAACTACCAGGTATAATGAAATTATTCACATAATACTGTATCAAAGTTATACGAAATTTTGGTTTCGGAAGCCTACACTAAATTACGTAAAATTACGGTTATTTTACAACCCTATACACATTATCAAGTCGGCTAAGACCCTAGCGTAACCAATCTAAAAAATTTCACTATCATGTGATATCGATCAGCTACTATAAATAGGTACATACGTATATTGTTTTTTTTAGCATGTTTTTTTTCATCATTTTTTTTTTCGTCATTTTTTTTTCGTTGTTTCTTTTTTGTCATCATTTTTTTTCGTTGTTTCGTTTTTTTTCTTTTGGTTTTCACATTCTTTTTTTTTTTAGGTCAATGTTTTTCTTTCGTCGCTTTTTCGATGCTTCTTTCGCCACTTTTTCGTCGCTTTTTCAGTACTTTTCTTGTCTTTCTTTTGATTCTCTCATCGTCTTTTAGTGGTCTCTTCGTCGTTTTTTTGACGATGCTTTCTTTGGTTCTTTTTACTGAGAATCTGACATTGTAGTTTGGGGTAGGTAATGCATCTACAAAAGTTGTTTCTTCCTGTAATTTTTACTAAGAATTCAACATTGTTGGGTTAGGGTTAGGGTTAGGGAAAGTTTCTATTAGTAAAATTTTGCGCGAAGCATTTTAATTATGCCGCGAAGATGGTTTCTTATAAATTTTGTTATTTCTGTTTTTTTTTTTGTAAAAAAAATTATTAAGTTTTAAATAAAAAATGTTTTGAAATAAATGTTTTATAATTTTCTTTTTTTTTTAAAAAAAAATATATCTTAATGTTAACGCTCGTTAAGAAAAAAATTTAATTGGCCAGCACGTGACTTGCGAAATTTTTTAAGTTGGTGACGCTAGGGGGGTTTCAAGTCGGCATATATTATACTCTAACGCCGGCTAATTCCGGGTCAGGTCATGTAAACAGACCTGGCCAAACCAATAGCTCCGATAGTAATTGTCCGGAGCGTAGCGAAGGACACCTAATGGACGAGTAAAGTGCATCAAAAGTTACGATGTTGATGCAAAATAGTGATAAAAATCAAGAACATTACTTTGAAAAGGATGTCTGTCCGCATATGATGTGGTTTTTGAATTCGATAATTATCTGTCTGTCTGCCCACGTGACCAATCACATAATAATTTTTTTTAATTTACAACAGCACCTGTTTTCCTAGTTTATATGTAATGTGCATACTTGGGACAGAAGTTTGTCGTTATGGTAGGGTTCGACTGGTTATAAACGTTGTTTTACATTATGCTTGATCTTGAAATTTGACTGGTCAACAAAATTTTTTTAATCCTCATTCCGCGGTCCGCATATTTGCTTAATTTACAATTTGTAATTTTGTAATGAAATTGAAATTTTTTAAACATCTAGCGAAGGTTTCTCAATAACTACCTGAAAAGATTTTTTATTTTAATTTTACGCTTTTGTAAGAATTAAAATAATTGTCAAAAAATTTACACTAGAAGTTTTAAAAAAGATAGAATACAGTATTAAAAAAATCAAATCAGATAAATTTGATCAAAATTGCGTAGATATTTGTTAAGAAATGTTAAAAGTAAAAAAAATTTAATTACAGTTTTAATCAAATTTTTTTGTTCTAAAATTATAAAATTACTATATTTAAAATTAAAAAATATAAAAATATTATCATAATAAAATTTCGCGTTATTTACAATTTCTTGGTTACACAATATCCTGAATTTTATTGAATTTTAGTAATCTTCAGCCCGGAATTTGTTTGGACCGGAATCATAGTAATTGTTAGTTACAAATTTAATAAATTTGTTCTGACATTATTGATGAAAATGGGACACACATATTGTCCCAAATTAAGAAGAAATTCCAATTCCCAAACCCAAATTAAAGTCAAAAAAAAAAAACAAAAAGGTTTGAGTCACAACCTTAACTCAACCATGATAATTTATTTCACAATTAACTTCTAATCGTTTCAATTGTGCTTTTAACTCTTTTCCAATTTTTTCACAATTAGCAATCAAATATTGTTCAAACTCTCTCCTTATGTTATTTAGTTCTTGAGTTATTGGTAATCGTCCGTCTGAACGAACTAATGATGGGTTCAGTAGCATATCAAATAACCTACCCCATAGGTTTCCTTGCCAATAGCGTTTGAAAGATTGTATTGGCTTATATTTTTTTGTCAAAATAGTTGTGCATGATGAGAATGAATCAACATCCATTCGTACAGGAGTAATCTGCATATATTCATTATGTAACATACAATGTATTACACCAGCTAGACCGTAATAATCTGCTTGCCATTTCCATGGTCTACCTTCTCTCATTTCCACGCAATTTTGGTCATCACATTTCCAATCAGCTATAAATTTCATATCAGGAGGAAATAATGTAGCATCGATTGCTCTTCCAAAGTCGATTAGTTTAATTCCTTTCTTTGACCAACCACCAGCACCTGATGGATCATACTGGGCATCCCATTCAACTGTTCGTTCCAACCTCAACAAACAATTATCCGCTTTTATATCACCATGAATTATTCCCGCTTCATGGATTGCTTCAACGATTTTCATAAGTTCAACAGTGAAAAAAATTACCAAAATTTCATCCATTGTAGAATTTTCTCTTTTAGCCGTATTTATAGCATCCACGATCGTTCCATGAGAACAAAGTTCGGTGAGCAAATAACTTTCATCTTTATAATAATACAAAGAATGAGCAGTTATTATAGAATTGATTGTAGGTGAAATGATTCTTTCATGTAATTTTCGAATTATATAAAATTCCCAAGCCGTAGAAGGTATTTGAAGCTTTAAAGCACGTGATACCCGGGAGTCTTTATGACATTCGGTCATGAACTTCATATCCAATACGCGATAGACTTTGCCATATGCACCTTCACCAATCTTTTGACGGATTAAAAAGGAGTCATTAAATAATCTGATTGGTTCATCTAAATTTGTTGCATTGCTGATACGACGTCGGCAATTTTTATCCCAATTTCGAGCAATTCTTTCTAACTTGGCGTGATTATTTGAATATTCGCCTCTCATATCATAAAAACCAGGATATTGTAACAATGAAGGATTTAAAGATGACAAAAATTGGTCAACTAACCTAGTCTCAAGTGGGTTACAAGGATTTGAAGATACCGGGAATAATTGAGGAGGTTTTGTAAAGAGAGATTGTTCTAAATTTTTAGGCTTTGGCGTTTCAATCACAGATCCTAAATCTAAAGTTATAAAACCATCTGATTGATATATAGATGTATTAGAGGTTGACCTATACTCTCGACTAGTCTCTTGTATTGGTGTTAAGAGTTCAAATGGAACCATTCTAAAGTTACCATGATGATCAGAATAATTTGGTGGAGCAATATTTTCATCATTTACAATATTATTCCGAGGAGTTCTGTGAATAAACAGTTTATCATATTTTGATACAGATGTTATATCATCTTCATCTGTATCATCATCAGACTTTTCGTAGTTCATTGGTTGATTAAAAAACTCCATTATATCTGCTAAAGCAGCTTTAGTGTTAATAGTTGGAGATGGCTTCTTTGTAAGTTTCTTTGGAGAAATTGCTAGACAATTGAAATAAAAATTAAATTAATAAATAATATATTTAATAGTTATAATTACAAAAAATGCTTACACCTAGGACTTGACACAGGAATAGTTTGATTATATTCACCGACTTCATGAGTTGATCTTGACTCGGGAATAGATTGATTGTGTTCTCTAATATTATAATTTGCACTTGACACAGAAATAGGTTGATTATATTCGCCGACTTCATGAATTGATCTTGACTCGGGAATAGATTGATTGTGTTCTCTAATATTATAATTTGCACTTGACACAGGAATAGGTTGATTATATTCACCGACTTCATGAATTGATCTTGACTCGGGAATAGATTGATTGTGTTCTCTGATATTATAATTTGCACTTGACACAGGAATAGGCTGATTATATTCACCGACTTCATGAATTGATCTTGACTCGGGAATAGATTGATTGTGTTCTCTAATATTATAATTTGCACTTGACACAGAAATAGGTTGATTA